ATAATTAATCATTTATATTAAATTAGACAAAAAAACACTTATATATTATACCATGTAGTGTTATTTTGTAATTTAAAAGTAAATTGTAATATTTTTTTTGCAACTTTTGATACCACAAGACATAATCTATTATATATAATATAAAAGCTTAAAAGGTTGGGGAACAATATAGTTTTTTCTCTTTCATCCTTGGCCACCGTTTAATTCCAATTTCACTAAATTGCCGAGGTTTTGGGTGGATTTTTCATTCTACCCCTTAACGTCTTTTTCCACATAACTGGGGTATATTCCTCCATTAAAATAATACAAAATATTCCCTTAATTCACGCGTGTCGGCTATTAAGCCAACGTCAACTTCGAGGTCAGACCTTCCTCTTTCTTCCAAATTTTTCTTTCTCCTTTCTTTCGCGTCTTCTTCTCCAGGTTTGTATTCTTCCATTTTTTTGGATGTTTTACCTGTTACGTGGTTCTTCTTCTCTTAAGTTATGATGTTCTCTGTTGGGTTTTTCTTTTTTCCTCGGTCTTTTGTCTTTTCTTTCTATTGTGTCGCTCTCATTGCCTACCTCCGACAAATCGGAGATCTTATGGAAGCAACTCAAACGAGACCACAAGAAGGATTTACCATGGAAGAAAGCTCTCATATCACCATCACCATAGAAGCTGACAACCCCACTTCGAAAATACTCAAGACTATCCTTCAAGACGCCTGAGTCGAAGATCAATCCATGGAGGACAACATCTCTTTTATGGTTGGATCAATCCATAAAAGGTTTGCAAGTATAAACGTATAATGAATGATGCTACCGACAAGTAAATGTCGACGTTATATTTGCGTTGTTCTTATTTTTTTCCCAGGGAAACCATGTCCAATATCAATATATAAATAAATACAATATCAGTCCTATTGTCCTTTACTTACTCCGCTATAGTTTTTAGCAATAACTACTAATACCACACCAAAGTAACAATAAATGAAACACAAAAGCTAACGTATACAATTATGTATGTAACCTACAACATACAACCACACTTAACCACTTATAACATCTAACTTCATGAAAAAAAAGTAAAAGAAAACACAAAAATAAAAGCAACTCCAACAAATATAAACCAAAGAATGTACAGTTTTGTAGTGTAGTTTTCCTGCATCTTTTGAGTTATATTGTGCATGTAGACCCCATACCGGAAATGAACGTATGTACAGCCCCTTCCCAGTTTTTATCAACATTTAACTAATACTCGTCCAATCCAACGCCAAGGGCGCCACCGATTCCTGCTAGTTATTATTATTGCATATTAATTTTGGATGCGGCTCGTGAACAGTAAGAAGTTTTGATGGTTCAAAAAAAAAAAAAAAAGACTGGTATTCATCGTTTCTAATTGGGGCTTATTGCTTTAGCCTATTCGCTATCTTGCTCTCCTCAACCCACATGTCTTGCTCTCCTTAACCCACGTGTCTCGCATGTATATGGAAGACACCAATTTCTCTCTTTTCCACACACAATTCGTCGAATTCCTATTTCATTCTTTTTTGCTTCTCTGCTTCGCCATGTCCTTAATGAACGGATGGTTAAAACGAGTATTTGGATAAATTGTTTTTTAAAAACAATTTATATTGGAACCGGAGATAAGTTATTTTTTATAAGTTAGTAATTTGGCAAAATAAACTTATTACTTATTAGTTTATAGCTTAATTATTAGCTTATAAACTAATAAGTTAGAGGAAGTTAACTTATGAAAAAATGACTTATTAACGGTTTATCACCATTATAAACTATTTTTATACAAACACTTTTTTAGCTAATAAGCTAATAAACTATTTTGTCAAACACCCATAACTTATCAAATCTCCTTGTAACTTTTCCAACATCTCTAAGGAACCTATTTTTTGGTTATTTTGAAAACACTAAAAAAGACTTATCAACTTATAGCGTTTTGACACCGGATAAACTAATCCAAACATTTTTTTAAAAACTTTGTTTTGACACCGTTATAAGCTAATAAGTTATAAGTTAAAAAATGTTTATCATTTTAAGCAATGTTCTAAAAAGCTCACCATGGCTTCGCTATATTGCGCCATGGCTTCAAGGCTTGTTTTCACCGTTATTTTTATTCAAACACCTTTTTAGCTTATATCAAAGAGAAATGGAACCACTTGGGTTGTGGTGACTTGGTAAGGCATGTGGAAGATATGGTGGATAACCTATTGACCCATGTTCAAATCCTGGCACCACTCAGCCCTTGTGACCATGGAGGTTCGCCTGCAGTGACTCCAGAGCATGAGGCAAAGCTTCATGTTTGCAGAGGGGGATTAGTCGGTGTGCGAAAGCTGGCCCGAAAACCCTCGTTAGGGAAGTTCCCTTTCCAAAAAGAGAAACGGTTCGCTAGTTTCAAACCATCACCCATATTGCCAAATAACAACATAATTTACTGAATGGTATTTACGAAATTACTTTAATAATGCCTTGGCAAAATCCTTTTTTCAAATCCCAAAAAGTAGAATCCAAAACATATCATCTCACGAAGAATTATGGGGTCAAACATGTAATTATCCACCTTCAATAGTTTCACAAAAAAAAACGTTCATTTTGATTCCTTTTTATTTTGGTCAGCTCAGTGATTATCCCCGTAAAAATATTTTCAAGTTGTAGTATAGCAAGTTTTTAAAAGAACAAACAAAAAAAATGAAATTCCATACCATTTATTGACTCCCTGTTCTATTCAGTTTTGTATGATCAATAGCTGTTACTGCTCATGAGTACACTTTGCAACCATTTGCAAAACCATTATTATCCAGAGTATAAACAAACAGGGGGCAAAAGGGTAAATTCAGCTTCATAAACTTACAACAAAAAGCAACCACCATTACTCATGTCTTGAACTTTTGTGTCAACTTTTCTTTAACAGCCGAACTCCACCCAACCGAGCTTTGTTGCAAATCTTGAATGGATCCACCAACTTTCAACACAACACCATTTTTAAGACCTTAAAAATGTACCTTTCAGGATAGAAGTTTAGAGAACTTTCATCTTGATTTGAAATATTCATGTCACGTTGAGATAATTTGCTAGCAATAAGTCTGGCTTCTGCCAAGCCTGAAATTCCATGTGTTTCATAAATTTCATTCATCAAAACAGAATTGTAAAGAGTAAATTACACGAATGGTCCCTATGGTTTAGGGTAATTTGCGCGATTGGTCTCTAACTTATTTTTTTAACTCGGAAGGTCCATACTGTTTGTTTTTTGTTACACGTTTGGTCCCTACTGTTTGTTTTTGTTACGCGTTTGGTCTCTGTCTTACTTAAAAAGACTATTATTTAAATAGAGAAAAATGACATGGTAGGTAAGGTAAGGTGATGGAGGTGGAGTTGGGGGTGTGTTTATTTAAATTAATTAAAAAATCAAAGGGAAAATAGTGTTTTTAGGTAAGACATGGACCAAACGCGTAACAAAAACAAATAGTAGGGACCTTCCGAGTTAAAAAAAATAAGTTAGGGACCAAATACGCAAATTACCCTAAACCATAGGGACCATTCGTGTAATTTACTCAATTGTAAATTAGAATCCAAAATTTGTATTTTCATTTATTTACCTTGTATAAATGAGAAATCAGTATCTTCAGGTGTAATGTCATCAAATGCAAGTTCAGTTACATTCTCAATATATACATTGCAGGGTACACTTTGGATAGAGTATTTCTTTACAAAAGAAAAATATATATTAAAAAGATTATAACTTTAATACAATTTCATTAAAAAAATACCTTGAAAGAGCACTGCTGGTGCTGGCAGAAACCAACCATCTAGCATATTCACGCCGAGTACATAAATCACCAGGTTGAACTTGCATTTGATTGCCTATGTTTGTTCATATATTGATGAGTCCTTGCTTGTTTCTAGTTTTGTTGAGAATCGGTGGGGTCGTATTGTTTATGCTAAAGTCAATATTTTTGCTTAGAGATTGACTTTGGACCAACTTCCCACTTGGTTCAATCTTTCAAAGAGGGGGTTTGATATTCCTTATTTGTCTTGCAAGATTTGTAACTCCGTTGCCGAGACGGTCAGTCATGTTTTCTTTACTTGCTCGGTTGGTCAAGATATTTTATCTCATGTGCTACGTTGGTGGGAGTTACCTTCCATTACTCCCTCTTCTTATGAAGACCGACTAAGGCCCCGTTTGATACGTATCTTTCCAGGTCTAAACAGATCTTTCTGGCTGAATGGACCGGAAAAACTGTTTGATTTGCACACAAAAAAAGGATTTTTCCCGGTAAGATATGTCTTTCCCAAAAGGTCCCAAAATCATATCTTTCTGGAAAGACAACTATGCCCCAAACTTCGCCTCTTTCTTTCTTTCCCAAATTATAATTTTTTTAAATAACTTTTTTTAAATTGATTTTTTATTGAATTATTACTTTTTTAATGTATTATTTTATATTAAGAAATATTATTTTAATATATAATATTTATGTATTAATAAATATTATTTTATGGATTATTATATATTTTTTAAATTATTTTTTTTAATTTCCTTTTTATAGATTAATTATTTTTATTGGATTATTATATATTCATAAATATTATTTATAATATATAATATTTATATATTAATAAATATTACTTTATTAGATTATTAATTTTTTTAGTTAATTTTTTAATTCATTTTATTAGATTAGTTCTTTTTTTTGGACAACACCACCATCCTAATTTATTTTTAAAAATCTCATCCATCCCACCACTATCAGACATAAACCGAGTCATTTTTCATCATTCAGCACAGTTAGTCAGATGTACAATCAAACAACATGGTTTTTTTCCCAGTTAAAAAACTTTCCCAGACAACACTTTTCCAGACAGAAACTATTAAACGGGACCTAAGTTGGTTTAAGAATCTTCATCTTCCTAAAGATGTGAAGGATTACTTTGAGGGTTTTTTTCTTTGTGATGTGGTGGCGTATTTGGTTATTTAGGAATAATTTTGTCTTTAGCAAGGCTCCAGTGATGAAGGCTCTTTTATTGGACAACATTGTCACCAAGGAGTTTTATAATATAAGAGTAGGCATAAGAGGATTGATACCAATTGAGTAGGTTGGCTCCAAAAGCCTGTTTTGGCCATTTGTGATAGTTCTCTTTTATGGTTTTCTATTGCTAGATTTTTTGCTAGTTTCTTACTAGCTCTTTCTTTTTATATATATTTCTTTCTTTGACGTTAAAAAACTATCTAAGTGAATTTATAACCGATAGTGTTTTGATTAATAATATGATTAGTGGCAATATGATGCGAAAGGCCAATATCGGACTAGCTTGAACATGGGCCTTCCTTAGTCTAACATACAGAGCCCAAAGGCCGAAACTAAGACGCCATTTTTATCTTTCTCAGCTTCTTACCATAAAATGATGTCCTGACCTAAAACCCTAATCGTCTCCTTTCATAGAACGCCGATCCAGATATACGTCGAGGTACGCGTCTTTTCGACTTTGCATCTTACGCTGATTCTGTATTTTATTTTATGTTAAGCTTGAATTCTAGACGCCATCATTCTTCTGTTAAGCCTTGCACATTATGATTTTACAATCGGCCGTGCGTCTGATGCACTTGATGATTTGATTTTGATAATCAACTGGTGATTCGAAATGTTCTATTCTTTGGTGTTTCTGTAGATTCCGATTTATAAACAAATTTGTACCCTAATTGATTATGTCTGTTTCTGTTTAGAACTTTCTTACGAAAAGGATTTGTTTTAGATTTCTGGTATCTATTTATATAGTAATAGCCTGATCAAAAATTATTAATGTGGATTTGATAGAGCTGATGGTTTCCAGCCACATTTGTATCTATTTCCATTTTCAAGCTACTTTAAGTAAAGAGTTTATGCATTCAAAAGCATGTGATAATCCAATAAACTGTTTAGTTTCTGTGAAACTAAGACATGATTTCACTTTTGTAACAGGATATGGCACCAAAACAGCCTAACACAGGCCTCTTTGTTGGATTGAACAAAGGTCATGTTGTGACTAAGAAGGAGTTAGCTCCTCGCCCATCTGATAGAAAAGGCGTAAGTTCCTTATTTTAATCAAATTCATTCTTGATTAGATTATGGAACGCATGTTCATGGTGCTATTTTTGTGTAGAAAACAAGCAAAAGGTCGCATTTTGTGAGGAATTTAATCCGTGAGGTAGCTGGATTTGCACCATATGAGAAGAGGATTACTGAGTTGTTGAAAGTTGGAAAGGACAAACGTGCCCTTAAGGTCGCCAAGAGAAAGTTGGGTACCCACAAGAGAGCAAAGAAGAAGAGAGAGGAGATGTCAAGTGTTCTTCGCAAGATGAGGTATTTTTTTTTTTTTTTCAAATTTTAGTGCTACAAATTCTTTTTATTTCTGTTTATTTTGTACTTCAAATTACTTTGATTGTTTGATGTATTAATTTGTTGTTAATTTTGTTTAATTATTTGCACAGGTCTGGTGGAGGTGCAGAGAAGAAGAAGTGAGGACTTTTTCAGGATTTAGTTTTCTTTGCATAATTTTGTTCTACTTTTAGTAGTTAAGTAAAACATCTGTCTTGTCTACATGATTTGGATTTTGTCTACTTTTTCTTTTAAAAAGATCATTCTTCTTTATGATATGATTTAGCTTGACTCTATGTAGTTCAAATCATAAGTCATCTAATTAAACTTCTTTTTGTGTTTAGACTTTTATACTTTTGTTTGATTTAAAGTTAAGTAGTATTATAAATCAAAAATCCATTTTAAGTTGGATTAATATATGATTAGAATTTTGAAATTGTAAAGATATACAGTATACAGCGCATTTGATTATAGTTTTATATATGTTTACATCTCAAAATTTCCCGATAAAGTAAAATATATAACCACATTTTTTGACGAAAAAAATTATATTTTTCTTGCCAAGCATAGTCGATGTTTTAAAAATCGGGTTATTAGTTGAATAGGTTTGACTGTGTTTATGTTAAACATAATCTGAACTCCTTTATAACAACTATTAACATGCATATCTTCATTTGTAGGAAGTTTATGAAGATGTGTAACTACATTAAACATCTCCATGAAACAACAAATTGGAAGTAATTACATGAAATTTTGAGTAGAAACCATTTGGAATAGGTCAAATGAACTACTTTGAGATACATAACTGATAAACGTCTAATCTTTACTGTGGGAATGGGAGATCTGTGGAATGTGCAGCTAAAGACAGAGTTTTAGCAGTTCAAATGGGTGCCTGTCACATGTGGCTGAATGACCAAAGATAAAGACAACGTCAGATGTAGGAGAAGAAACACGAACCATGGAGTACTTTTGCATCAGTATTTTGCTTCAAATGGGGTGGGCTCAGTTTAGATCTATTAAGTACATAGTCTGGATTTTGTAGCCCAAACAGTGAAGTCTAAGTCCCAAGGGCGGACATAGGATTTCATACTAGGTGTGGTACGGAAAAAAAAATCGTCTATAGCGGCAAATTTTCTATTATGTAGCTGCACACTTTTTGTAAGTAGTGGTAGAATAAAAATTCAGAAAATTTTACACTGCATACACGTAAGTCAGGTGTTGCCGGTGCCACTGTACGATCACGCATTCGCCTTGCCCCGATCATTTGAAGTATCTGAAAACATTGAAATCAACAGTTGTAAACCAAAGCTTAGTAAGTTTCCCCAAAATACCCCACAACAATACATATACAATGCATGCACACCGGGCCCATAGTATAAAACTGGATTGTCCCTGGACCCACAGTCATAAAACTGGATTGCTCTCGGGCCCACAACACACGACTGGATTACCCAAGGTTTGTTGGCCTACAACACAAAGTCGTATCGTCTCAACCCAACCACACTTTGTCAACATATTCAAACAGATAATAAATAACCAACAGATACAGGTAAATATACATATCTACCAATCTAACAGATCACTACATCATAACAACATTTTACACACAAGGACACATACTGCAGTATAAAGTATGTAAGAAAACTCATCTCACAGTCTAAAAGATAACAACGTTGATCACAAATCCAATAACTGACACTACAGGTTACCTATACAACAAACATGGACCAAGCCTCAAACTACAACCCAAAACCCTCAATTTAAGCTAAAGTCAAACTTGGTCAAAGTCAACGATCAAAAGTCCATTCAGCCAACTGCCACGCCGTGGCCAATACCTTGCATTGATGTGGCAGCCTCACGACAAGATAGTTGCGAAACTGCATAACGTCATGACATGGAAACCAATTCTCCATATTACAACCCAAAACCCTCAATTTGAGCTAAAGTCAAACTTGGTCAAAGTCAACGATCAAAAGTCCATTCAGCCAACTGCCACGCCGTGGCCAATACCTTGCATTGCTGTGGCAGCCTCACGACAAGATAGTTGCGAAACTGCATAACGTCATGACATGGAAACCAATTCTCCACATCGTAGGAACCGTCCAGACCAGCTTATTGCATTAAGCTCTTAATCCTTCAAGTCATCCATCCATACTTTCTAGAATGCATTCTTACATCCAAATCATTATAAAAATTGTTGCTTTATAGACATGCATGTTCAATGCATGTATTGAACTCAATCTAGATCAAAATGATATAAAATGAGATCAAAATCTCATATAAATAACCAAAACTCGATAACTCTCTAGATCTACAACACCACTCCCCAAAATGACCTCAATGATTCATAAAGTTGCTAACTTTATGAGATTCATTCATAAGAACGACCCTGCTAAGTCCAAATACACTGGTTCAATACCAATTTTAACGGTTTAATTTTACCGGTTCAAACGAGTTTTTGTAAAAAACTGGTCGGTTCGCTTTGGTCCAAAAATAGATATAAAAATCAGTGCTAGTTGAACCATTCATTTCCTCGGTTCCCGGTCCAACAGGTTCGACTGACCAATTCGAACCGATTTTTAAAACATTAGGTAGTCAAAATGCAAAAAATGCAATATTACTGTGGGACGCATTATTTTTATGGTCCTTACATAAAAATTTAGCCACTGCTTAATGAAAATTTTCATTTTAAAACGATATTGTTTATATTTTTATATATTTTTTTTGTGGTATAGATCTTCAAAGGTTATATTCACATCAAAAGAAGGTTATATTATGTCGCAATGAATTTTGTGATTTGGATTGAATCACTGTGAAATGAATGGTTATTTATTTATTTATTTTACTCTTTTTTTTGTTGTTAAAACACAACGAAACCATATTTTAAAAAGTTCAAAACATTTTATACGGTTTTTGTCTTGGTTTCGGTTTATGTGTTTTTTTGGTTATTTTTAAATATGATTCGATGCATGCTCACCTCTACTCAATCAATATCAAACCATATATCCTCTATTTAAATTAAAATTTTTATTTCCATGTTTCCACAATAGGGATTATCACTAAAATGATAAAATGATAGACCATGTTTATGTATACGAAATGAACATAATTCTTGAAGCTATCGCAAAACAACCACATAACTTGCTGTATGGTATTTACGAAATTACTTTAATATGCCTTTGCCTTGTCCATTTAGCAAAACATATTATTATTTATTTCAAATCCCAAAAGGTAGAACCCCAAAATGGGGGCAAATATGTAATTTATCCTCCTTTGATAGCTTGACAAAAAATGGTCATCCTGATTCCTTTTTATTTTGGTCAGCTTAATGATTATCCCCTAAATTTTTTTTCTTCAAATGGTAATGTACAAAAAGTTTTTAAAAGAACAAGCACAAAAATGAAATTCCATACAATTTATTGACTCCCTGTTCTATTCAGTTTTGTATCAATAGCTGTTACTACTCACGAGTACACTTTGCAACCATTTGCAAAACCATTATTATCCAGAGTATAAACAAACAGGGGGAAAAAGGGTAAATTCAGCTTCATAAAATAAAATTACAACAAAAAAAAAAAAAAAACAACCACCATGACTCATGTCTTGAACTTTTGCGTCAACTTTTCTTTAACAGCTGAACTCCACCCAACCGAGCTTCGTTGCAAATCTTGAATCGATCCACCGACTTTCAACACAACACCATCTTTCACCTCACCCACTTGCTTCACACCCTTCGATGCCAATTCTTTCAATTGGGATATAAAAAAGAGTATCCTTTCAATAACTTTATCAATCGTTTCTTTGGATTTACCCTTTAAATCTTGCGTCATATTCTTGAGTTTTTCCACCATGTTTTCAGCTCTGCTTTTGGTTTCTTGTATTGAAAACTGTTTCTGAGCATTGACCCATGTGGATTCGGTATTTGACTCATCACGAAGGTCATTATCCACAATGACTTTAATGCCCTGATTTTCCCATTGGGCTCTAGCATCTTCCACAACTTTCACTTGCTCTCTTGCCCTTTTTGCCTCATCTTCCGCCCAAGTTCTTCATAAAAAAATATATAAATAAATAAATCATAAAAGTTATTTTTCTAAAGATATAAAAAATTTACCTGGCCATGGCTAGGGCTTTCCGTTCAACTTCCAATTCATATTGCAAACGTGAAATCTCCTGAGTCTCAAATTCCGCATTTGCCCTCAGCTTATTTACCCTTTCTTTCTCAAACGAAATCTCCACTTTATTACTCATAATCCCCTGCAACTCTTCTTCTGCTTCACGCCTCAGCTTCAGAAGCACTTCCATTTGTGAATCAACAGCTGCACATTCTTTCATCATTTTAATGTTCTGTTCCTCTTGTTCGGCTTTCAATCGTTCCAGTTCTTGTTTTGTTTCTTCTGCTAATTTCTCAAGTGTGATGATCTTTTCTCTTTCTAGTAAAAGATCTTTCTCGAAATACATGTTGACATCTTTTTGGACTTGGTCAACTAAAGCAGTATGTGCAGCAACTGCCTTTTCTGCCATGGATTCTGCTTCTATGCGTGCAAGTTCTTCAGTAACTAAATCGGATGATTCACCCGTTGCAAGAGCAATTGCAGCTTGTGCTTTTGTCACTGGCTTATCTGGCTGAAAGAGTCTCGTGTAGCCTGTCAAAATTAACAGATCACATGACATGATATAACAGGTTGTACTGTGTTGTGTTGTTTTAATAAGACAAAAGTTGCAATCTTTTGTCTTATCCAAAAAGGTGGAATGAAATGTGACAATTGAGATGACATATTTTGTCATCTCAATATCTCATATGTGAAAAAGACGTAAATGCCCTTCTCACCGAATGCAAGGCCGACTATTCCGTTTTCTCCTGCTGATAAGTCTGCTATGAGTGCAGGCCAAGCGTCTGGATTGATCTTGTCAATGTCTATGAAACCAGAGAGTCGTTGAAGGATCTGGAATTTGTTACAAAATATATTTTAGGTTTTTAAAAACTTTATATCAGTAAAAATTAAAAAGATAGATTTTATTAGATTTTTATGTTGTATATAAATATAACCTTTCTGTCGGGTACAGGAAGCAGTCTTTTTTCCAGGGACATTTTCCAGCTCACAAGATCTTGACGAGATAATGGGCTGTAAAAATAATTGAGGAAAGGGTTAAATTGTAAAATGCATGAAAGTATAAGGTCTTAAAAATGTACCTTTCAGGACAGAAGTTTAGAGAACTCTCATCTTGATTTGAAATATTCATGTCATGTTGAGATAATTTGCTGGCAATAAGTCCAGCTTCTGCCAAGCCTGTGTTTTATAATTTTCATTCATCAAAAAAGTTTTTTTAAAACAGAAAATATGATATAATTGTAAATTAGAATCCAGAATTTATAGTTTCATTTATTTACCTTGAATAGATGAGAAATCAGGATCTTCAGGTGTAATGTCATCAAATGCAAGTTCAGTTACATTCTCAATATACATTGCAGGGTACACTTTGGATAGAGTATTTCTATACAAAAAAGATTAAAAAGATTATAACTTTAATACAATTTCAATAAATAAAAAAAAAAAAATATGTACCTTGAAAGAGCACTGCTGGCAGAAACCAACCATCTAGCATATTCGCGACGAGTACATAAATCACCAGGTTGAACATCACCTTCAATAACCTGACATCATATATATGAACTTCAAGATTTTTAATTATAAAATAAGAAACTAAAAAAATATAATTTTAAAATTACAACAGACCTTTAATACTTGCAATGCTGCTAATGCCTGCCCTTGTACTTGATCAACAACTGCAGGGACTAAGACTTTTCCAGGGAGAGTTTGTAGTGATGGTGAAAGTACAGATGGAGCAGGTATGCTTGCAGAAGATGGAAGATTTTCAAGATCCATTGAATCAAATGTTTTCTCAATGTTAGACAATTCTGGTTCTGGAATTGGAATCGGAATCGGAATCGGAATTACCAATCCACCATCTAAAACTTCCTTTTCTGTGAATGACTCCAAGAACTCTTGTGTTTCTTTATCATTGATATGTGATTCATTTATTGTTGCCTCCTGGAAATCGGAATCAGGAATTACTGAGTTTACATTATCAGTGGGGACTTCTTTCAAGTTATCATCTGATTCGAGCTTCTCTGTGTCATCTAAGCTTTGAATGATTGATGCATCAACCGAATCATCTTGAACATCGGAATTGGCTATTCCAGGTGTTTCCATAGTGTCATCGTGAACTTCAGCTGTAGGTAATTCCTCTTGGGAATCTTGTTGAATAAGTTTATCTTCAATTGTAGTTTCATTTTCTTTTTCATGTGAATAAGAATCATCATCTAGCACAGCATTCTCTTTTTCAGTTCCCTTAGCTTCAAGATTATCATTCTGGTCATCAGAGGTCAATGACTCTTCTTGATGTGTTGTCAAAGTTTCCATGTTCTTTTTTGTCCCTGAAGGACAAGTAAAAGAATTAGGCATGGTTTTGAACTACAAACATGAGAAAGCTTGGAAATTTGTAAAAATGGAAGGATCAATGAGAAATTTGGAAAAGAAAGCATACATACCAGATACTCGTTTGCTTATAGAAAATGTTGCAAAGGAAAGTCCAGCAACAAGAACAACACCTGCTACTGCAGCTCCCACTATCCCTGAAAGTAAGCTACTTAAGTGTTATTAAGTAGACAAGAATACCATCTGCAGAAGCAAAAGATCATAAATCAAAGGTCATATTTTCCCTTTTCTCCTAGGTGTTTTGAACTTTGAAGTTGAAACTTAACCAAAGTGTGAGGTGATATAAAACATCCTTCATGAAATGAGTCGAATTTTGAGTTTGAAGCATCACCTATTCATCATATAACAGCACTAAATCATATGTTCTATTTCCTATGAATTTGTAGTTTAATTGCATCCTAACCATGTATAGCAAGCTAGTGATTTTAGACAGTTTCCAAAGTTTTTTGTTTGAAACAATCTAACAATACGATGTCTTGAAACTAAATTCTTTCATATAACAGATTTAGGATCTACAGAACTAAATACATCGATGTCAATTTTGCTATTTTGAAGAATATAGAGGCCTAGGTTTTCAAAATGAAACCGGATTCTACTTATGTGAATTGAGAAGGGTTTACAGCTATGGAAGGGTCAAATTCTCAGGAATCATCAATCAAATAAGAATAAAGTCACCTCCTACCTCCATACGAGCCTTTTTTCGGTGGCGATTCATTCAACACTTCGGTGCCATTATCATCACCAGACCATCCAGAAAATGCATTAACAGAAAATTTCGAAGCCGTCCGTCGTTTAGACACATTATCTCTAGAATTCGAAGAACAATGAATTGGATGGGCTAGCTTGTGAACACGCATCCGTAAAAAGATAGAAGATGAAGGATACTTCCTGGAACTGAAGGTGGCTAGTCGGAGTTGGTAAGAGCTCGGAGACCTTGTTGTGATCAATGTACTCATGGTGTTAATTTGCCAAAAACACAAAGGAATTGAAGATGTTTAGTTCCACAAGTCCGATTATAGGGTTTTGTGAGTATCTAGGGTTTCTTGTTTTTACAGTGATGACTGATGAGGGGAGAAAGACGATAGACCCACACTTCTTCGCTCTCTAATCTAAAATCTAAATTACCTTATCGCAAAGGAGAGCGGATATCCCAGTATCGGGGTCTTACTGCGATTATCTGAGACTTAGGGTGATTTATGTATTTAAAACTAAACTTCGAGGGCTGTTTATGTCATATGTTTATTCAAGAAGAAAAAGTCTTGGTGTACATTGTTTTGATATTGTACGTATTTTTCGTGTGCAAAAATATGGCACAGGATAGATAGTCGACATTGAAAAGTGTCTTTTGTGATGGATTATTGGATTGTATCTCATAAATGTTTAAATGAGATTATTATAGTATTTATATTTGTTTTATTGTCTTGTGTCTTTAATGTATATAATGGATTATTTTATTCTTACCAATGGATAATTTATTGAAAAAAATCATCAAAACTAAGGCAGAGATTGTATCAGCAACAAGATTTGAACATAATATTAAAAATATATGGTTTTTTATTGCTCGTGATTTACCATATAATTATAATAAACTAATCATAATATTAATTGTGCCGTTAAAAAATATTAATTATAAGTTACAGAAAAGTTACATATGTAATAACTAATCAAAAGTTAAAAAATTACGAGTTGAATCTAATTAGTTTGAGGCGCTACTCCAAATTAATTAACGTGTAATGTTTGTTGTGTAATTATCGTTTACCATTAAATTTAAAAGGAACACCAATTAAAAAATGGGCCTTGAGGGGTGTGGGCTTCATATGGACTGCCAATTAAGAGTTGGATATTTGAATCTGGGCTATACATCATACGGTTCGAAAGTAGTGTTAAGTAAATGAATGAATTGTCCATCTCATTATCAATATGAGAATATATACACACAAAAATCCTACTCCATTATAATGATGATGATAATTCCAAATATATCTAATAATATAATCTAATGTACAATACAACCCCTCAATCTGAATGGGAGGAAGACAAATTAATGCTCAAATTGTTGCGAAAATCTTCAAATAAAAATGGGAAGACATTTGGGGAATATGTCGACAATTTGATTTCCTGAAGGATGTACATGACCCAAACACATTTTTTGGCCACTTGCTTTTGATCAAAATGAATGTAAATTTCTATGTGATTTGTATGTTGCCATTGAGCAAAATCATTTGAGACATGGGCAACACTAACATTGTTACAATACACAAGTGTAGCTTTAGTGAAGGGAATAGAGAGCTTAAGGAAAAGATTTCAGATCCAACATGATTCAGAGGCGACATTAGCAATTCAGAGCTATTTTAAGACGTAGGGTGATTTATGTAATTAAAATCAAACTTTGAGGACCGTTTATGTCATATGTTAATTCAAGAAGAAAAATTCTTGGTGTACATTGTTTTGATATTTTACGTATTTATAATTTAGTTATTTCGTGTGCAAAAATATGGCACTGATAGATAGTCGACATTGAAAAGTGTCCTTTGTGATGGATTGTATCTCATAAATGTTTAAATGAGATTATTATAGTATTTGTATTTATTTTATTATCTTGTGTCTCGGTGCCTTTTAATGGATATACGACATAAATGATAAAATGGGATTATCTTAGTATTTTTTTTTTATTAATATATTGTTTCGTAACTGATTTTACAGAAATATAGACCTCACGTCTCACCAGATGGATAATTTATTGAACAAATAATCAAAATTGTATTAGCAACAAGACTTGAAATTTAATTTGTGAGATCAACTAGGACTTTGAAAGATTTTTGCTAAAAACTTGATGTATTCGTATTATTTATTGCATGTCAAACTATGGTCATTACAAAACCGTTGTCGACAAATGGTGCCAGTACAGATGCAAATGTTATTGCCAAAGAATTATCCATCTTCCACAGTTCCACTCAATAAGCATGGGATTATATACACAAAAGTCATACTCTATTACTAAAACATAATAATGGTGATATTTCCAAATATATCTAATAAAATAATCTAATGTCTAATACAACCCTTTAGTTTGAACGAGAGGAAGACAAACACATAAACTATTGTGAAAATCTTCAAATAAAATTTTGGAAAGTCCGTCGACAATTTGATATCATGAAGGAACCTACATGACCCAGACATGTTCTTTGGCCACTTGCTCTCGAATGAAATGAATGTCAATTTATATGGTCTTGTATGTTGATGTTGAATCAAATTATTTAAGAGATAGATATCACTGACATTTTCACAATTATGGATGCAAATGCAAATTTGACACCGAATTTCACACTTACATTTCTTAATTTACAATAGTAAAGTACTTTGAAGTTTACATATACAAACAATCTACTTGTAATTGTGTTGTCAATATTGGAAAAAAAAAAGCACATTGCCTATATTAGTAAAGAAAACACATAACATTGCTATATTACTAAAGGTTGTCTTTTCCTATTTTCGGCTTCTACAATCAAAGCAAATTCACGTTCCTCCCCGGTATAGTGACTTGTATCATACCACACTGTATTGGAAAAACGAACTATTGAGGTACTTATCTTGTTTGGTTGCTCCAACTATCACACTCCACAACTCAAACTCATTCATCTACCAAAAAAACAAATTGTTTTGTATATATTAATAAATATAAATCCCATTTAGGGCCCACACCATTATACGGCCAGTTTTGTATTTATCAGTAAATATAAATCCCAATTAGGGCCCACATCATCATGTGGGCCTGGGTAATCGCTCAAGTTGCCCCGATTTCAACTTTTGGGTTGAGCCTTGGTGATTTTCTTCCAATGCTCACTTTGAGCATTGTACTATCATGCTAGACATCTAATTTCAAGTTGTTGGAAGAATAACCATTTTTGGAAGAAAAAAATGACAGAGCAAATTCAGCAAATAAAACTCCATCTACGTTGCCAATTGTCTTTTGAGCGATCTTATATAGCGTAATATTTTTGATAAACTTGAGGTTACATTCCAAAATTACTTTATCAAACTATTAAACACTTGTTAATAATTTGAACCGTATCCCATCATCAACGTAAAACTAACCAAAAACAACCAACTTTAAACTTTTTGAAGCTCCTTTTTAACCCGAAAAATGATTCAAATGTAAAAATATTTAAAAAAAAAAGATGCCATTTCCTAGTAGCACAGAAATATCATATTCTTAACTTATATCCCAACTCCATTTACATGCTTGATTTGTTCATACTTCTGTTGAATGTGTTTTTTCAGTCAAATTCGGCAAGCTTCCTTCCCACAACTCCTTCAACTCCTTTCTTGTCCAAGAGATTACAACCACCGGTCCAAGCGTTGATGGGACCTACAGTGTTTACTTTTTGACTTAATACAGAAAGAACAACTTAACCCAGAAAGTCACGAAAACATGTTATTATTTATTTTTATCCTTCCATACCCCAAAATATGTCATCATTTTCTCAAATACTTTCTTTATAAACATTATTTATCCAGACAACACTTTACTCAGACAGACAGACAGTGTCATACAGACAAACACTTACCAGATACAAAAGTGCTGGTTGTGGAGAATGGGTAAGAATTCCAGCTGCTAAAGCAGTTACCAATCCAACTGCATATCCAATAGTAGCATACCATATATATTTATACCCTTTATGAGGAGATAAAGATATATTCTCCTTTCTATGATCAAAACATAAAACTAATGCCAAAAGCATAGAAGGAATAGCCTACAAAAATAAAAACAAATATATACATCATCCTAACATGTAAACTTAGGATAAAACTATAAAATTATAAACCATAATTTTTTATTTTATTATTATTATTATTTTTTTTTACCATATCACCAAGACCAAGCATCATGAAGTCAGTAGCAGTATTTCCAGGAACAACACCTCCCAATAAGTTTCTTGGAAACACAATCTTCACAGGCAACTCGAGTTTTTTAGTAATTAATTGCAATCCAGGAAGACTCAAAGAATTAGCAACAGTATGAACAGGGTTAGAAGCTTGTTGTGTTGCTACAGCTACCATAACATTTGCACCAAAAAACCATTCTGAATAAAACACCCAAAATATATCATACACAAACAAGCATATAAGCAGCATTGCACAAACTTTAATGTTGGGTAAACGAACATGGCTCACAAAAGCAACACAAAGTGAAATCCCCAACATGTTGTTCAACACCCAGTGTCCAGAAACAAGCCATGCTGCAACTGTAGTGATGCATAAGAACAATAGAAGGGATTGGATTCGTGTTAAGGGTTTGGAGCAACATCGGGAGATGAAAGGGTCTGAAAGATTGAATTGGGATTTGACATGGGAGATGTAGGGAGAGAAGCAGAAGTAGAGAGATGATATGGAGGCGATTGCTGTGAAAGCAGTGAGGAGTTGTGAGACTGAAGAGAATAAGTAGAACATCATGAGGAGACTGCAGGAGCTCATGACTGGAATCATGAGTGCTTGAGATCTGTCTAATGTGATTGATGCTTCAGAGAGATCACGGTTTTTTTCCATTTCTTTACCATAGTTTAAAGCTCGGAGAGCAGAACCGAAAGTGACAGCAATGGCTGTTAAGATTAAGGTCACTGGAGCTGGTTCCATGAGAAATACAAGCTTCCATAAAGGCTCCATGTTTATCAGAATTAGAAGTTAGAACTCAACTTAGTTGCTTACAAAGATTCAGAAGTCCATAAACCGAAGGTATGAGTAATTGACCTAAGTGATATGTCCCTGAAATTAAGAGGAAAGCAATTGCATTTATTAGCAAACTATTGTTAGATACTGATAAGAAACATAGCAAGAAGGTATTATTCATAACAAATTACAGATATATGTAGGGTTTATCAGAGTTGACATCATTCACAGCAAGTAACAATAAAAGTATCGAAATATGTAGGGTTTATCAGATTTGTGAAAGGAAAAAAAGTGATCACATGATCAATCACGGGGTAGTGGGGTACTACTTTCTGAATACGTAACGCACAAATTTAGCCAAAAAGATTCAAGTTTTCTACTAAAACGTAACCAATTGGTAGTCAACAGTCAATGCAAATTGGATCTCATCTGAAAATTAACACCTAGGGCTCACAATTCAATGTCTGGAGATCGTAATTTGCAGCTATCTTCCAGGACAATAAGATGATACTAACCAAATTACATCTAAATGTACGATCGACGGTTACAAATAATGAATTGTCATCGAAAAAATTATCATGATAGATTGATACACAGCAGATATTGCAAAGAACTGTAAAGATCTTGTAATTTTGTAAAACGACGATTTGAAATTAGGCATTTGTGTGAATCTGTAGAAATTGCTTCAAAGTGTGGAAAACAGACTTACGTTAAACAGGACGAAGTTGAAATTAACTATGAGAAGTCGCTCTTTATCGAGTTGCCTACACGAATGGTGAAATTAACTGTGCACCGAAAGCAATAGCGTCAAATTTTGTCCCTCGTCGACAAGGTTTTTGGTTTTGCTCTTTTTCAGATTTTTATCTTTGCATTTATTACATATACGACCCTCAAGTTTAGTGTTCATACCAAATTTTGTGTTATCTAATTGGTATATAACTTCATTAAGACGGTTAAATAATAGTTCCGTTTTTGCTTTGTATTTATTTTTTCGTAACATAAAGTCATAAACAATAGTTTAATTATCTTAAAACCATCGTCTCACTTCTACCATGAATTTAGGGGTCCAAACTCCAAACGAGCTGAGTCCGAGCCTAGCCTGATCAGACTCGGGTTTGACTCGTTTAATTTTTTTGGTTAGGTCCCGTTTGATAGACATATTTTAAGGTCCAAATAAATCTTTCTGACTGAATGGACCGGAAAGACTGTTTGATATGCACAAAAAACGGGTCTTTCCCGGTAAGATATCGTGTGCTGCGTGACGCAACATTCGACCCTCTGCTTCAAACTTCTTCACACCTTATTTTAACTTATTGCAACAGTCTGCAGAGGTTAAAAAATAAACAAACGTTTTACTACATGCTGCAGTCGTTTGGTCCCCCTCTTCTGCTACAGAGGGTTGCAGAGGTGGTCTGCAGACTTCAGACATTTTCGCTTTGAAAAAACAAACGACACCTAAGACAATTATGCCCCCAACCTCCTCTCTTTCTTTCTTGGATTATTAATTTCTTTTTTATTGGATTATTACTTCTCATTTGATTATTATATATTAATAAATATTATTTTTAATATATAATATTTATGTATTTTAAAAAATTCTCTCCATTCCATCACTATCAGACATAAACCGGGTCAAGAATCACATGTTGAGTTATAAAAAAAAACTAAAATGACTAGAAAGAATAACAACGTAACATCAACTTGAAAAACAATAAACTAAAAACAACTTAATCGACATTCTATTTGGATTTTTAAATGATTATTGTGTAATTTTGATTTTGTATGATAATTTGTATGTTTTTATAATTATTTAGCGACTTCATTCATCACAGTATAGAACAACAGAGTAATATTGTCATTTTTCATTATTCATCACAATCAATCAGATGTACAATCAAACAACATGGTTTATTTTCCAGTCAGAAAACTTTCCATACAATATTTTCTCAGACAACACTTTCTCGGACAGAAACTATCAAACATGACCTTAGAGATCTGCTCGTTTAGAAATATACAAGGTCGGGCTCGGCTTCGCTTGGCTCGTATATTGTATACCTTTATTCCTTAAAATAGTGTTTATTAAATATTTATGAACAAATTACTAAGATGGTCCCTATGGTTACAAAAATTTCACGTTTGGTCCCTATCTTTTTTTTGCAAGCGGACTGTCCCTACTGTTTCTTTTTTATTGCGATTTTCATCCTTTACTGATATAAAATGATTATTATACCCTTACTAGGTATTTTTATATTTAAATTTATCATAAAAAGGTTTTGGTTATTATTAAAACACTTGGGTCCACATACTCCTACCCATTGCCTTCTAGACCTGAAGCCACGATCTGAAGCACTGCCCCTCAAATCCATCCATATATCATTCTATCTCTCTCTATCTCCCCCCCCCCCCCCCCCCTCTCTCTCTCTCTTATCACCTCTACCATTAATTACCCTTATTGACTAGTAACCACAACTCCATAAACCATTGATGTTAACCACTTCCAAAACCTTTCCCATTAATCACCACTACTGCCATCGACCACCAGCAACACCACCATTGATTGATGCTCAAACCTGCAAAAAAAATAATAATAAATAAGGGTAATAAAGAGATGATGATTGTGGGTGTTGGGTCATGGGACCACATATTCTTTCTAAATATTCTCCTTTGTCAGATTAGGAAAAAATATATAGTAAATAAAAGAAAAAAGAAAAAAAAATAAGGTTAATAAAGTCTTTTTACATGTGTTAGAGATGAAAAGCGCAACAAAAAGAAACTGTATGGATGGTCCAAGTAGGGATGAGCTTTAGAACCGGACCGGTTCGGACCGGAACCGGTTTTCCTATATTATAAGAACCGGGAACCGGACCGCCGGTTCTAGTTCCAGTTCCGATCCCGGTTTTTTCGGTTATTTTTCAAACTAGAACCGGTTGAAGTATTATAGATAATATGTTATCTTCCAGAGCTTGTACATGATTCAATATTTAACCAAATTATTACTTTTTACATTCTAAATTGAAGTACAAACACTAAATTACATGATGAAAAAAGAATCAAGTAATTTCGACTTCATATGAGTGAGTTATATGCATATTAAAAGCGGGATAGATTCCAAAAAAACGCTGAAACAGAAAATACGCAGCATTGATATGCTGTCTTCCGAGGTCTATAACTGATTCAATATCTAACCATAATATGTGTTTTTATAGTCTAGAATGAAGTACAAACACCAAATTACATGTTGGAAAAAAATTATGTAATTCCGACGTCATATGAATGAGTTATGCACATTTAAAAAAACAAAAAAAATGTTGAAATAGAAAAAACGCAGCATCGATATTCTTTCTTTCAGGGCATGTATCTGATTCAATATCTAACCAAAACATATGTTTGTATAGTAAAAAATGAACTACAAACTCCGAATTACATGTTGGAAAAAAATCAAATAATTCCGATTTCATATGAGTGAGTTATGCACATTTTAAAAAACGGTAAAATTGTCAAACCGGTTCCGGTTTTTAGAACCGAGGCCGGTTTTCATAAAAATGGAGAACCGGTAACCGGACCTTGTTACCAATTCCGGTTCCGGTTCGGTTCCGGTTCCGGCGGTCCTAATGCTCATCCCTAGGTCCAAGTGCAAAATAAAAGATAGGGACCAAACATGGAATATTTGCAAACCACAGAGACCATCTCAGTAATTTGTTTAATATTTATTTATTTTATGGTATAAATATACAATTATATATATATATATATATATATATATATATATATATATATATATATATATATATATATTAAAGAAGTCTCACCTTACGAACATTAAAGTTCTTAAGGTTTTGGCATAATTGTCCTTATTTATTTATGTATAGTTCATTCAGTTTGTTTCGTGGTTTTTTTAGAATGGGTCATTTTATGTCATTATCTACATTCGAGGTGGACACGTGTTGTTTCTATTTTTGCTTCACCGCTTTGTAACCCAATCACATTCGGATTAATGTTATTCTTCTTCACCGTTTTTGTTACCGACCTTCTTTTTCTCTCTCTATTTGTATCTGTTGGTTTGTTCGATTTCTTGCTTTCGCTTTCTTCTTTTAATCCCATATATTATTCTTCATGTGTTTTTGTGTGTTTATCTGTTTATGTCTTCATATTGTTTCGTTTCGCTTTCTCCGTTTCATCGGGTAACTTTCTGCCTCATCTCTCGATTCTTCTTGGATTCCACAGCCCGAGGATCCGTACCGGAGAAGCTTAACGTTTGCTTCGCTCTCCTTCTACTACCTCCCTCCACCTCCTTCTTCCACTGTCTGTCTACAACCACTTCACATACAACGATTGTCGGATTCCACCTCCATTGGCCACCGCCGGCTACCTTCTGCCATCATCAACGCCCTCTAAATAATCCCTAGCCCCATCATATGCTTAGAAGGTCTTCGAAAAATTGTCTCACACATAGACGCTTTCCTTCTCAGTTTTCGCTATGTAGAAATCGTTGACAAATTCTAGGTTTGGGTTTGTCATTTCATCAATTCCTCTGATTTTGCTTCTTTTATGCTCTTCAATTTACAAATCCAAAGGCTACATTTTTTTGGTTTTGGTTTTGATTGTTATTGATGTTTTTGGTTTTATTTTTCTGTTTTACCAACATTACGGGACAATATGTGCTGGTTATCTCCATTAATTACATGTCCTCTTACACAAATTTGGCAGTGTCTTCACTAATTTTTTAAGTAACGCACTTCAGATGTCATTTAATTTATATTTATTTTGCTTTTCAGTGACTTTTATTGCTCGAGAACACCACTATTATATCCCCAGAGGTATTACACAGGGCTACGGTTCCTTGCTGCGGATGAGATTTCCCTGTATAAATCGCATGTATTTATCAAGATTTTTAATAGTTTTATTGAAAATGTTTTTAATAGATTTATTGCAAGTACCTGTTATATTAGCAATAGTGTTCGTCAGAATCTCTTCAGACATGGCGATATCTGCAGCTGTCAAAGGAGAAACAAGGAACGCAACTGTCAAAAGAGAAACAAGGAACATCCACCTTTAAGATGCAAAAACAATGGATTAACAGGTTTATTTTATGATGATGGTAAAAAAAATTAATCTCATCCAGCTCTAAACAAGTACATAAAGAACAAGTTATATCGATTTCCCTTTGTTTAGTATTAAATGTATGAGTTTGTTCTCATGTGTTAGGTTGTTTCTTGGAAAACTTCCCTTTATACCCCTCAATTTTGCTTCAACAACTGATACAATAAGTGAAGGGTGAGTTCTTTCTATTCGATATTCCCTACATTTAAAGCTAATAGTTGTTCAAAGATCAAACAATGAGGTTCAATTTTGGGTCAGAGAAACTGGATAGACTTTTAGTCAAAAGTCAAAAATCGGAGTCCGATACTATTTTACGGCTCTTTCGGACAGATTGTGCAGTTTGTGACATTGTATTTGTCAAAACTATGTACTTTTTAAGAATTTATTTATCAAGTGAACGAGTATAAAGATTTAAAGTGTTCAATTACATTGGATTGGATCTTTATACTTATGTGCCAATGTAACACCCATAAAATTCATGAAAAATTTAAACTTTTAAAAACATTCAAAATCATCATTGTTTACAAACTATTTCCAAAATAAGATTCATATAAGAGAAATCCCAAAATCATGAAATAAAAACATGAGGAGGTGCATGATCACGCCTTCGCCTTCCCGCAATCCTGAGAAGTACCTGAAACATAAACCAATAACTGTAAGCCCAAAGCTTAGTGAGTTTCCCCCAAAATACCAATACATAACGAATAACACAATATAATAACAACATGCAATGGGTCCACAACTTTACAGACTGGATT